AAGACCTACCCGCAACAAACCCGTGCTGGCTATCCCTTAAGATGTTGACGTCGGCCCGTGCATTAAGGATGGTCTCTTTAATAAACTCTTCTAAGATCTTCCCCGGGATAGAAGTCAGGCTGATGGGCCTATAGTTAGCCTGATCCACTTTCCTCCCTTTCTTGAAGATAGGCACCACATTGGCCTTCTTCCAGTCTTCGGGCACTACACCAGAGCGCCAAGAGTTTTCAAAGATCCGTGCTAGAGTACCGTCTCAGCTAGGTTGAGACTGGCAACAGTATGCAAAGTTTCTACTAGCTCAACAACTGCCATCTTGGCCCACACTAAGGAGTGGATCAAAGACTTCCAGAACTGAATATTGAGCCTCTCTAACAAAAGAGCCAAGACCCCTAGTTGATGGTTATAAATAACTCTTATACCCAGTTGATGAAGCACATAAGAGATAAATATTAACATACCCCAGCCAGTAAGACAAATACTTTTCATGAAGAAAGCACTGTTGTAAGCACCAGAATCTCGGAGCAGTTCAAGTTCTGTACTGGCCCCATCAACAGGGAATCTAGGATTTTGTAAAGCAGGGTGTAGTTATGACTGATACCCTTGGCCAAGATGTAGCAGGTGCTTCTGACCGCCTGCACAACTTGGGAAGAGGGATCAGAGAACCCATCTGGGATCAGACTCACAGCTGAATTGCCAGGCACTGCTGGCTACCTGCTCAGCTGATAAGGAGGGGGCCAGGCAGTCCAGTTTTGACAGGATTGGTTCCTCAGCTTCCACAGACAGCAGAACTGGAGGTGTAATTGAACCCCAGTCTGGATCCACCCCTGAGCTCCGCTTCCAAGGCAATCACTACATTGCTAGACACCAGGGTTTGAATGGAATATTTTCAAGAACTATAAATCATAAGCCTTTTTATAGCTTAAGAGCCAGTCTCTTCACATATCAAATGTAACAGGTTCATATAATTTACAGATTAGTCACGGTGCTGGAGAAAGTATCATGCAATATTTAGTGAACTAGGTTATACAAGCATTTAAAATCCTTAATCTCTTATACAACATCATGCTTATAGTTTATAATCATTGTGTAATTCTATCTATATAAGTAAGCCGTCTTCTGGAGATGGCAGTATGTCTCTGAAAAGGTAATTCTACTTTACTTGAGATTTGTCTGTAAACATTTCATGCATTTGCCTTTTATAAAAAAGTGTGTGTGTGTAGTTATGACTACTTAAGGAGCCACCTATACATAGGCACAATACAAAAATTCCTATATTTTAATAATTCTTACAAGAGTTTCCAATCTACACTGATCCAGAAGACAGCGAGTCATGCTATTTCAAATAAATACACACATCACTTTACAACCTAGTTTACTGACATATATGGGAGTAATGGGAGACAATCTTCATTCCTATAGAGTTTACTGTAAAAGTTATTTGGATATTCAGGCTAAATTTTACCTCACCTTATTCCTTTGACCATATTTACACCCTCATTCCTCATTCTGAAAATTCTTGTATTTCATTGCTATATCTTTAAAAACTCTTGTAGACATATGTCCCATTTGTTTGTTTGGGTTTTTTTTAGCTGAACTATACATATTTAATTATTTTTAATTTTTCCCTTGTTGTATTAATGCCACAAGCCCTTTACCTGGAAAACTGAAGCTCTTACTCAACTAGATAATTTTACTGGGCATACAGTTTTTGTTGTGCTAAACAGAAATAATTCAAAGACAAACAACTAAACTCTAGGACATCTGTCATATACCATAACTCACATCAACCCACTAGCAAAACAAAATTTGAGGTCAACAGTAATGATGGGTTGAGAGAGGACATAGGTCTCTGGAATTTGGCCTTGAAAACAAAGTGGATATCTGCTTTTTGTGACTATTATCATTATGAAAAAATATAATCTGGATTAGTTACTAATCCCTAAATTTTAGATCAAGTATTCCATATAATAGCTGAAAAATTGTGCTGGATTTATTGAGATGACAAATTAAGCAGAAAGTTCCTATACACATGTAACTGACTTTTCTTCACTGTGACAACACTAATAATAAACCTTTGCAATGCTAATCCATCATGTATTTATAGAACAAGTACTTACTGTGAAAATAATGTCCTGGACCGAACAATGAACTTGAACACATATTCTAATGCTTTCAAAGTTCTTAGTATAGGCTCACATTGTTCCCCTCTGCTGGACGTATCCAAGTAAGTCTTCAGAACAGTCATTAGTTTTCTGAATTAGAGATAGTATTTGCTGAAAACTTCTTATAATAAATATCATCAACAAGATTTGTCAAATTAAACTGCTAATGTTTATTTTGCAATTTAAATATAAGACTATCTAGATTTAAAATATATAGAGATATAAAATAATTTACTACTGTATATTCCAGTTGTAAAAAACCTATTAATAATATACAAATGAAGAGTAAAGAAACAATTGAAAACCAAAATAGTCCCTGGAGCTGCTAAGTTAATAACTTTCAGTAATGGAAATTGCTGCAGCCTCTTAGAAGTCATTTTTTCAAGTGTTAATAAGCCTTGTAATAGGAAATACAGCATTCATACACTGTATAACATGACAAGTGAGTTTTGTCCACCATATACATAGTATATTAGGCCATACTTAAGTTGTCAAATGAAGATACGCATTCTAAATTATTTTAATATCATTGCATACAATTGGTATGGCTCTCCAATAAAAATGGTATCTGTTGAATACATATACGTTTCTTGTTTCCAACTTATGTAATTGAAGGGGATTTTTGTTGCGCTAATACATTACATATTAACAGGCCATGGAACAGCAAAGTTCCGCTCATCTCACTATAGTTAAACTGAATTTTAAGACTGAATAAGATAAGGGTAGATCAGGCTCTCATTCACAGTTGTTATAATTTCATCATAAATGACCAAAGAGTGTCATCTTAATCTTATGGTGGCTTTTGTTAAAACTGGTTAAAGTTGGTTCTTTTATTATAGCATTTAACACCCAAGACATTTAAAGGTTCTTAAAGTTATCTGTGTACTTAAAAAAGAAGGAAGAAAAACAAAAAATAGCAAAAAGAATAACTTACTTGTAAGCCAAAGTGGCACTAAAATGCTGCTGGATATAAGCTTCCAAAACAGTATTAAAATGTTGAAATTTCCGGTCAGCAATAAGTCCTATTATATAGATCTAAACAGATATTAAGATATTAGTGTTTGTTGTGATTAGACATTTTAAAATAGAAGCATCAGCTTCCTGAAATATCTATAATTCTCAAGCATTTGCTTCTATAAAACTTCATCAGGACACAAAAGTATGCCCATTTTCAAGAGCTTAGCTATTTAAAAGACATCATCTCAACTATTAACAGGGCAGACATTTAATATATCAATTCCCCAATTCCTTGTGATATACATACACTAGAGAATCTCAACGTCGTATTCACGGTGTAATCTGACTAACTCCTTAGTTTCCGTGTGATTCTTACCAATGCATCGAAGACAAGAATGTCATACTCATCACTGTTGGAATGCTCCATCATGATGTTAAACAGGGCATCCAAAGTATCTTGTAGAAACTGTGAAACAGAAGATGAAATGAGACAAAGTGTGTGATAATTAAAATAAAATCACAGCATGCTAGTTCATTTTGGGAGTGTCTACACAAAATGCTTTATTGCACAGTAAAGCATTACCACATACACGTGCACAGCATTTACTGTGCAGTAAATTAGTCTACTGCATGGTTAGCTACTACCTGTAGATACAGGCAGTAGATTAACTGAGCAGTAGCTATTGCACAGTAGTGCACATGTAGACAGATGACAGGGAACAAATTGTTCCTGGTCAGCCCAGGCAGCAGGGGACAGAGGAACTGTCCCCTGCCCCAAGCAACTGTTTCCCACCCCCGCAGAAGATCAGGGTACGTGGCTGGGAGGCAGCTGCTCCAGAGGTGGAACAGCTGTCCCCACCCACCAGAGCCCAGGCTTGACCTCAGGGTCCCCTGCCAGCCCAGGGCTGGTGCCTCAGAGAGCCTGGAGCTCCCTTTGGCTGCTGTAAGGTGTCAGAGCAGGGCAGGAGTAGCCCTACAATGAACTGCTCCCATCAGGAGCAAATTTGCTCCTGATGAGAGCACATGTAGATGCGCTCCAGGGGAAAGCTTCCTGTGCAGTAAGTGTACAGTGCATTAATAGCAGGTGTAGACATGCCCTCTGTAGACTGCGTTTGGTTCCCTCAAGATAAATTTTGGAGGCTCCCAGGGAAATGCTACAAGACTTTAGGATACATTGCAAAACCTATACTTTTCAGTTGTGGAAATTAAGAATTCATAATACACAGTTATTAATTACTTTGATGCATAGTTAACTAAGAATCCATACTTGTAACACTGATCTATAATAGAAACACATACTATTGTTATCTGTAATTTATGTGCAACTAAAACAAAATTCCCATTTCTTTAGTGATATAGATCGGTATTTATTATTTTCATCCTTAAGTGGTAACTGAAAATTTAGAAGAGATTTACTCTTCTAGGCCCTCATTTAAAGGAAAAAAATCTCCTATGGTCTTTTAACTACCTTTGGTATACATTCTTAATTTTTATAGTATTTTGAATTTTGTTTAAAATAAAGGAAGGTAGTAACTACAGAATATTTGCTGTTTGCATTTAAATTAGTACCATTAATTTAATTTAATAGATTCCTAATTTGAATGTGTGTTCTTGACATAATCACTATTTTTTTTATATGTACTGGAATTTCCCAGTATTTTTTCAAAAATCATCTACTGTAAACACTTTAAAACAAAGACCACCATTTTATTAAATTTATTATGCATTCCAAACACTAAAAACTATAAAAACAATATTTTGGGTTCTTACATGTCTATTGACAGCAAAGTAAGCAGCAGCTGAGCAAACATTATATTCTTTAGTATTTTATTAACTATGTTTGGGAGCAAAATTTTATTATTAATGTCCTTAATATCTTGTCAGCTTTTTATGAAGCTGCCGCTGTGTAACAAGATGTGCTAAGACTCTCAACAAAGAAGCAGTGCCTTCTAGAGATGTTCTAAAGGCTCAAATCTGTGTTTCTTTGCACAGCATTGAGGCTGCATACACATATTCAAATCATCTGGAGAATTATCCCATCTTTGCGCTCCTGGTAAAGAATTTTACCCTGGCTTCTCTCAGAAGAGAACACAGTCCTCCAGCATCTCTCCTGCTTTCTGCTGCCTGGTCCCCTTGAAACAGCATCTTGCTTGCTGGACTCTGTTGCTCCAGGAAGGAGAAGAACGCACTCCCTTCACAATCCCCACATTGGGCTATAGGGAAACACAGTCTGGCCATGAGCTGGCTGGGCCAGCCAATCAAGACTACCCTACGCGCTGCTGGCATCCATTGCAAGACAAAGAGAACCTGCAGAATATGCTGAGGTGTGTGCATAGGTGGCCCTCCTGGCTGCACATCATCAACATCATAAGCTCTCCACTCATCAGGGTCTCAGAATTTGAATGTCTGTACATGTAGACCCTGGCATGTACATATATTCACTTTTCCAGGCCCAAAAGAAACTCTCCTGTGAGTGATTTAACCCTGGCTGTTCTCAAGTTATTTTTCACCTGGAGTGGCCATTTTTACTCCGGGGAAAGAAAACCTGAATGTCTGTACTCTCCTGGTTTTTCTTGGGATAACAACAAATAATACAAACTGTCCCTAGAAGTTTTGACTCCATTTGATGAAGGAGAAGAATAATGGAACTAACTGATAAACTGTCCACTTAATACCTTCTTTAAAATACTAAAGAATATAATACAACAAAACTCTATAGCAGACTGACTAGTACAGAATAATCAGCCCACAGGAACGCTTGTCACTAATTACTGTAAATAGGCATTGGCTCATTCTTTGAACCATGAGAACTTGTTCTTTTTCCAAAGCCATTACAGAAACTTGTAGGGTGGATTTTGGTTCTGGTAACAAAAATTTAGAACTGGAGGGAAGAAAGAAGTAAAAATTAATCTGACTTGATAGAAATTGCTGTTTTGGGAATATATAATCCAGGAATAGTGTTTTGCTGAGGTTTTTTTAAGAGTCCAATCCTTGAGCCACAGATCTATCCACAGAAATTGTAGATCTTTCTGCATATGAGAGTAGGATGTAGGCTTGGATTCCTCTTCTTTTCCTTCCCCCACTCTCTCTGCTCTGCTTCAAAAGCAATATGCTTTACGTCAAAATGGGCTGCTGCTTGGTTAAGGTTGTAACATCACTGGAGTCAGTCAGCAGCCAACTGATCCCAACTCTTGGGCATTTACACACATGTGGGAAGCTTGCTCCAATGCGCTGGAAATCCAGCATGTAAACTGATGTGCTCTGGCAGCCTTGTACGTCATGTGTATCAATGGTGTAGTGAGCCTCAGTGCTGAGCAAAGGGCAGTGGTGCACTTTGAACTTAAACACAGTCAATGAGTTCAAAGCACTAGGCTGCCATTTTCTCAGCATGGGGGTGCGCTGCGCTACTGATACACGTGACATGGGTGCTTTTAGTTAGCGCAGCTCACTAATTAAAAGCACCCAGCGCTGCATCAGGACCACATGCGAAAATGCCCCTTGATGTTGGCATCTATTTTCTTGACGTCTGCCTTCCACATACGTCCTTGTAGTGTTTCCTTTGGCCATTGTGAGATCTCAGGCCATTACTAAGCTGAGAGCAGAGCACTTGTTTTGGGAGTTTGTGTGTCAATGCCCGACTCTCATGTCCAGTCCAGCAAAATTGGTGCTTGAGGATCACCAACTCAATGCTGGTATCATTAGCTTCAGCAAGGATTCTGATGTTTGTGCACTGATGTTTGCACTCTTTGTGTGCAAGAATGGCACAGCCATCAGTGTATTGAAGGTCAAGGATGGCTGTTTTGAGTACTTTTAAGACCAAAGTTCAACAGTGTGCCCCCCCACACCATGGAAGTGCAGCAATATATCCTTACAGAGTGGCATGTGACATTGTTTACCTGCAAGAAGACATACTAAAAAGCATGCTATAAAATAGCATTTATTTTTTGCATATAGCAAACATTCTGTCAAAACACAGACAGAAAATCTGGGTAGAAAAAACAAGCAAGACTAGAAACCCTATTCAGTATTAAGAAGGAATCTTTTAAAAAAGAGTCATTATAAAGCCCAGTGATGAGGAAAGCTATCAGTTAACACAGACCTCAAACCTGCATATGCCTGACAGAAGAAAGGCTGTTTCATATAATACACTACATTGGAGTGAAAGAACTTCTTTTTTAACACAATTGGGCTTGCAATCTTAGGCCTTTCTTCAGTTCCATAATGTTATCTTTCTGAAAAAGCATAATCTTGCTCCAATTGTGACAAAATCAAGTGATAGTGCATCTTTTTCACTCCTCTCAACATTGCCATAACCATATATTCACAGTTTTGTAACCAGGTTGGGTTGTTTTTTTTTAAAACCACCTTGCTTCCCTCATTCCATGCAAATGTTGAGTTCTGAGACACAACTTTGAGACCCTTTTTGATGATAAAGCATTCAGCTCCTTCAAGCAGGCAAAGTTTCAAGCCACACAAGTTGCCATTACAAGATGTTCTCATTTACAAACCCCTTTTGGGGTGTATATTAATAATACTACTATTACTATTGTGTACTTGCAATACATTTTAAATGTTTGCAGATCATGTGCCAGAATGTATAGGAAGTGGAAGAGGGGAGGGAGAACTGGATGTATACCCTGCAGCAATAACCGAGCTAGCTTTAAACAAGCTAATCTTAGGTACCAGAAGCAGTCTAGCTACAGCAGCAGAAAGCTGAGGGCTGGTTAATTTACCCTCCTCAAGTAAATTAAAAACTACCTTCCCTCTCTATAGTCTCTCTGCACCTTGTCTTGTAAACACACCCAATTTCTAGGTGCTTCAGCAGTTCTAGCTAAGGTAGTTCTTAGGACCTGAAACAAGCTCTAGGAGTTGTTGTGCTAGCTGACTCCCATAAAAAAGCAGCACAATGTAAGAGGTTACACACTTTACAGTAATTAAAATGTTGTCTCTGAACCCTTTGGAAACACATAGCATTGATAACAAAACATCATGCATCCTTAATAATGTTAACAATGTTAATGGCCAATATTTATGTTTTGTTGCCTTGTCAATTATCTACCATTCATGGGACCAGAACTTGTGTTACTGCAGTGTTTGGTCACAAATACATTTTTCTAAACTTAGAACAGCATCTGTATTTTCAGAAACAGGTCAAAAAGGAGCGCCAATGATTTTCACAAGTGAAGGAAAATATAAAGTGGTATAATTTCAGGAAGCTGACTGAAAGAAAAGTTATGTAAAATGGAGATGCAATTCCTGAGATACAGCCCCTCCTCACAACTGCAGTTAAAAGAGTACAGAGATGTTCTCCATTTGAGCCAAAGAAAATACCACTGTCCAAGCCATCTTTGTATGTGATAAGCAGACATTGCAAAACCTAGCGCATTAAAACCACAGCTGCCTAACAAACAACCCATGATAATTCAATTGCCTCTGAAAGGGAGCAGAATTCAGGGAATGTATGCAATGTATATTCCCTGCAGTATACTCACATAGTATCTCTCCACACTATGTCCCAGTAGGTATATATAATATTAATGGAGATGTTTTTCTATCTACTAGACTACAAATGACAAGTAAAGTGGCTTCAAAAAACACTGAAGCTCTGAGGCTGTGGTAGTACGTATGCAGTGGCTCTGCAGCATAGGGAGTTGAAAGGATACCTCCCTCAAACATCTAGAGATCTCATCAATAAAAGAATGTGTTTTTTCAAGCAGACCATATATCTTTAGACCTCTGTAATTAATTCAGGACCCTTCTTGATGTTCACGTAATGGCATAATGGCAGGAGGCATGATTGTTGGATCCAGCATTGGACCTTATCACACATTGTGGCTGATATAAGGATCTCCATCCTAGGCTCCCCCTGAACTGGTAAGTAACAAGCTCCCACAGCTGCAAGTCCCAAGCTGAGGAAGTATATGTTGGTCGGAGGAATGGGTGGATAGACAACTGGCTGGATTATCAGGCTCAATGGGTAGTAATCAATGGCTCAATGTCTAATTGGCAGTCGGTATCAAGCAGAGTGCCCCAGGGGTTGGTCCTGGGGCCAATTTTGTTCAATATTTCATGAACTATCTGCAGGATAGGATGGATTGCACCCTTAGCAAATTTATAGATATTAACAAGCTGGGGGGG